GGGAGGGGCTCCGCGTTCCTTAATTGTTTCGCAGCTTGCCTTGGATTTTCCTCAGGTTTTCGTTGCGAAATCGAAATTCAACTTATGGAAAATAGGGGCCTCGTTCCTTATCTAGGGTTCCTTAGGTCAACGCCTCGACTGTAAGGCTGGCTGCGACCGACCGCGGGGTTTCGACGGCAGCGCCGTGGCCTCCGGGGCCGATGCTGCCTGCGCAGTCTGCGGCGCTGCACGGGGGCGCGCGGGCACGCGACGGCAGAGCGCGACCCGGACTCGTTCGAGGAGCTGCGAGGCGCGGCGTCGCGTGGAGAGGTTCAGCTTCAGCGGTGAGCTCTTCCACTTCCCCCGCCCCTGCCCTTTCCTTTCTCCGCCCGATGTTCCTCCCTTTGTGCCACTCAAACTCCTCAGCCTCCTTCTCCTGCACGCATTCCTCCCCCTGCTTTCCTTCCCTGCTGCTGTTAGTCTTATTATCAGAGTGAGGGGGCCGAACGGAGCTGCGAGGCGCGGCGTCGCGCGGAGAGGTTCAGCTTCCGCGGAGGAGTCCGGGGCATCAGGGGGCGGTCGCATTTTCCGAGAAAGTTAAAAAACGTACGGTCTTCTCGAGAATTCGCAGGAGTGCGCGCATTTTTTTGGGGGGAGAAAATCCGTGTTGCGGAACCTTGTGTCTTTTTTGTTTTGGGACACTCGATGTTGAAATCTTTACGAAGCCGAAGGTTTTTGATTTTTTGCGGCACGCGCGCGCGACAACGCGCGCGTATGCACTTCGTTTTGATAAACGAGTGTGCGCATAGTATTTGTTGCAGAGGATGGCGGGGGGGCAATACTGGCTCGGCAGGGATGGTATGGGTTCATATTTATGATGGACGATAGGGCGTAATCATATGTAAATTGCAGTACGAAAAGGAATACCGATAATCCCGGGGGGCGTCGAGTTTATTTTTTAAGAAAGGAAAATACATGTGGTTGCGCAATCAGTGTGGTGACGTATTTCTTGCGCAAGGTATGTGGTGCAATCGAATGTTTCGAGCGATCCAAAAGTGCGGCGCAAACGGGTTTTGTGATTCAGTCTTCGTGGTGCAATCCAGCGGTGGCGACGAAGAGGCGGCAACGAGGCGGCGACGGGCGGCGACGGCGACAACATAGCCGCCAGACCACGAACACACCACAGACGACGTGCGGCGATGAGGCGGCGACGGGGCGGCGACGGCGACAACATAGCCGCCAGACCAGCCACACGGCCCGGTTCTTTAGAGCAAAAATATGAGCCCTAAAGTGCAAACGTTGTTTGGGGAAAGTGGCAATGGGCTCGTAAGGTTCTTACGATATCGGGCAATGGCACTTGGATGGCACGGGCGTTGTTGTACGTTGTTGTGGAATCCGGAGGCAGATTTCGATTGTGCCGACGCCCAGGCCACCCGAAGAAACGATGGCCCGGTGTCTTGCGACTGTCGATTCTATCTGAACCAAGCTGTGGTGAACAAGAGTGAGTGGTTCGATGATGCTGGAACGGACGTATGGGGAACGTTTGAGGGCAAATTTGTCATTGGACGACGCGATGTTCATTTTCAATGTGCCGTTCGGATTCTCTCGCTCGCGTTCACTTCGTCGCCTCGCTTGTCGCTCGTCCTTCTCTCCCTCCCTCCCTCAGCCTCGCCTCTCGTCCTCGCTTGTCGCGCGTCCCTGTCTCCCCTTCGTGTGTCCCTCCCCTCCCCCAGCGGCACCGCACAGGGATGCCGCCGCCGACCGACGCAGAGACCGCCGCCGCTCGCGCTTCACGCCCCGGCGCCACGGCGCCCGCCCGCAGCGCTCCCGCCGGCGTTCATTTTGCAGGTGCGAGTGCGCGACAGTGGGCCGAACAGTGGCAGAGCAAATGCCATCGGCCCGAACAGTAAGGAGGAACAGCTTCCCATCAAAGGCATGAAAAACGCCCCTACCCTGGTTTACGAGGCGTTGTGCGCTGAAACTCCCGTGGGCTGACAGGGTAAACCCTGCGTGATGTGCCGCGTCCTGGCGGCTTTAGGCCCTGGGGGTTCCCAGGAGGTTTACAGACCACGCACTTGTAACCCAGGGTAGGGTCGTTTTTTTCATCCCTCAATCCCAAGGTTGCACTAGCTTCCTTCCCCTTCGGCCCATGGAGTCGGCAGGACCTTCCAAGGCCGTCAAGGTCAGCCCGCCAGGTGTCGACATGGCCTTCCAAGACCCTTGCATCCTCATCGTTCATCGTGCGCCCTTCTTCAACGGGTTGGCTCTTTGCCATCTGTGATTCACCTGTTCCGCCTCCCTCGCCTTTTCCCCCCCTCCGCGCGTGGGGCCGCCCGCCTCGGCCGCCCTCTGGAGTTTCCCCCACTCTGGGGGCGCGCGGCACCTTGCCCGAGGAGACTGCGGAGGAACGGCAGCGGAAGCTGCTCGAAATGTACAGGCGGCATTTCGGGAAATGGGCAATCCTCGCGGTGAGCTCTTCCACTTACCCCGCCCCTGCCCTTTCCTTTCTCCGCCCCATGTTCCTCCCTTTGTGCCACTCAAACTCCTCAGCCTCCTTCTCCTGCAGGCATTTCTCCCCCTGCTTTCCTTCCCTGCTGTTGTTATTCTTATTATCAGAGTGAGGGGGCCGAACGGTCATTCACTGTCCTTGGGTGCGTGGCTGAATAGGACATTCGTGGTGAGAATTCTGCTCGTTGCGCTGTTGTTGTTGCTGTTGTTGTTGCAGTTGTTGTTGTTGGTGCTGTTGATGATGTTGGTGTTGTTTTTGTTTTTGTTATTGTTGTTGTATGTGTCGATGTCGCTGTCGTTGTCGTCGTCGTCGTTGTCGTCATCGTCGTTGTTGTTAATGTTGAGCATGTTGCTAATGTTGTGGTTGCTGTTGTTGCTATTGTTGATGTTGTTGGTGTAGCTGTTGTTGTTGTTGGTGGTGGTGGTGTTGTTGGTAGTGTTGTTGCTGGTGTTGTTGTTCGTGTTGTTGTTGGTGTTGTTGTTGCTGCTGGTGTTGTTGCTGGTGTGGTTGTTGCTGCTGCTGCTGCTGTTGCTGTTGCTGTTGTTGTTGGTTTTGTTGTTGTTGTTGTTGTTGCTGCTGGTGCTGTTGTTGTTGTTGGTGTTGCTGTTGTTGTTGTTGTTGAACATTATTAATTCTAAAGAATAATTATTGTTGGGCCCCCTGGTGCGCGCCCCCCCCGCCGCGCCTAGGCCGCAGCCACGTTTTCATCATTTTCGTGAGGAAGCCTCAGGTAATTCGAGGTGATCAAGATCCGGTTGTTTTGTTCCCCCCCGCTTTCCCTTGCAAAAAACACTATAAAATGAAATCTCTTGTTCAAATATAATCAAATTTCAAGAATCCCTTGCAAAAAATAAGGTAAAGTGGACATTCGCGCGCGCAAGACGAAATCCTTCCAAAAGCTTAGTGTTCGGAACGATTTTAACATAAAAACATCAAAAAACCAATGGTTTTTCAACAAAAAAATGTCAAAATCTCATCCCGCGCGCTCTTGCGGATTCGTAGGAAACCCAACACTTTTTAAACATTTCTGTCAAACGGGCTTTTGCGAGCAACTTTTTCGAACTTCTGCGACAACGGTTGCGCACCTGCCAGGGCCATCATCCCTGTCAAATAATACCATGCGGGACACATTCGTTTTTTCTTCGCGCGCGCACGCCGAAATCTCCAAAAACCATTGGGTTCTGTGGGTGTGTACCCCACGCCAGTGTAGTAGCCACGGTCGTCCGCACGCCACGAAGTGAAGTGTCCCAACGTCATAGGGCGGGAAGCTGGGTTTGGGTGGTCGCGAAGAGTCGTTTGGATATTTGGTAGAGCTTGTAATGCCCCCCCACGAAGTGGGGGTATTGCCTGGTGTCGTATGAAAACCCTGGCACTGGGGAGAACACCACGCGTTCGGGTAAAATGATTGTTGTTGTTGTTGTTGTTGTTGTTGTTGTTGTTGTTGTTCGTGTTGCTGTTGTTGTTGTTGATGATGAATCATCATTTCAGAAGAATAATTACATATTGTTGATCCCCCCACCGGTGCATACTGTGCTTTCTCAATCGAAGTGTGCCCCTCGACGCTCGCACCCTGTTTTTTGACAGGGAAGGTCTTCCTGCTCAAACTGGGCCCCTGGCCCCCGGGTTACAACAACAACGGCTCCCGCTTGAGAATTCCTCACAATTTAGCCAAGAGCCCCGCTCGAGACTTCCTCGCATTGAATTCAGGAATCGCGCTCTCGCTTGGGACTTCCTTACAATTTATTCAGGAATCGCTCTCCTGGCGCTCTGGAGTCGCGCTCTCGCTGGAGATTTGCTTGCAACTTACTGAAGAATAGACTTGCGTTGGAATTTCCTGCAATCTGCCCAAGCGCCGCGCTCCCGACACTCAGGCACCCAGGAGTCGCGCCCGGTGTGGCCCCATGTGCATGCCCTTCGTGGCCCCGCTGTCGCCATGTGTGTCCCCCTCACTGTCCTACGTGGCCCCGTTGCTACCCTCAGTGGCCCCATAGTTGCTTTCTGTGGCCCCGCATTATCTGCACTTCGGGTCGACGGTCTGCGGCCGCCCCGCCGATCAGCGCTGCCGCTGGCCAGGCCGACGGTCCGCGGCCGCCCCGCCGCTTGCCGGGGCCCGACCTGCAGGGAAGAAAGGTATACCCCCCAAAAGGGGTTCGATCGAAGACGAAAAGGGCGGGTATCGAGGGTTTGGGAAATACGCGTGATTGGACACTCGAGCATATAAGGGCGAGCAGTCTTAAGATTGTTGTTGTTGTTGTTGTTGTTGTGTTGTTGTTGTTGTTGTTGTTGTTGTTGTGATTGTTGATGTTGTTGTTGCTGCTGTTGCTGCTGTTGTTGTTGGTGTTGAACATTATTTATTCTAAAGAATAATTATTGTTGGGCCCCCTGGTGCGCGCCCCCCCTGCGCCGCCTAGGCCGCAGCTACATTTTCATCATTTTCGTGAGGAAGCCTCAGGTAAAACGATGTGATCCAGATCCGGTTGTTTTGTTCCCCCCCGCTGTCCCTTGCAAAAAACACTATAAAATGAAATTTCTTGTTCTAAAATAACCAAACTTCAAGAATCCCTTGCAAAAAATAAGGTAAAGTGGACATTCGCGCGCGCAAGACGAAATCCTTCCAAAACCTTAGTGTTCGTAGCGATTTCAACATAAAAACATCAAAAAAACCAATGTTTTTTTTTTTTCAAAAAAAAAAAAAAAAAAGTGTCACAATTTCATCCCGCGCGCTCTTGCGGATTCGTAGGGAACCCAACACTTTTTAAACATTTCTGTCAAACGGGCTTTTGAGAGCAACTTTTTCGAACTTCTGCGACAACGGTTGCGCACCTGCCAGGGCCATCATCCCTGTCAAATAATACCATGCGGGACACATTCGTTTTTTCTTCGCGCGCGCACGCCGTCGTCGTCGGCCGCGGGGCCCTGAATAGTAGCCACGGTCGTCCGCATGCCACGAAGTGAAGTGTCCGAACGTCATAGGGCGGGAAGCTGGGTGTGGGTGGTGGCGAAGAGTCGTATGGAAATTTGGTAGAGCTTGAACCGGCCCCCCCACAAAGTGGGGTTATTGCCCGCCTCCTATGAAAACCCTGGCACTGGTGAGAACGGAGTGTCCCCAGTCTTAAATGATTGTTGTTGTTGTTGTTGTTGTTGTTGTTGTTGTTGTTGTTGTTGTTGTTGTACTCTCATTCTTGAAGAATGATTATTGTTGATCCCCCCCCACCGGTGCACATTGATTTTTTTCGATTGAAGTGCCACCCCGGGGCTCGCACCTTGTTTTTTCTCAAGGAAAGTCTTCCTGCTCAAACTGTGCCCCTCCCCCCCGGGCTACAACAACAACGGCTCCCGCCTGAGACTTCCTCGATTTTTACTCAGGACCCCCGCTCCCGCCTGAGACTTCCGCGCAATTTACTCAGGAAAGGCGCTCCCGTCTGAGACTTCCTCGCAATGTAATCAAGTCCCCCGCTCCCGCCTGAGACTTCCGTGCAATTTACGTGGGAACGGCGCTCCCGCCTGAGACTTCTTCGAATTTTACTCAGGACCCCCGCTCTTACTTTTTTCCTTTCTGTTTTTATTTTTTTGTTTTTTTTTTATATTATTTTTGTTGCTCTCTTGTTTTTTTTTTTTTCTTTTCGTCTTTTTTTTGTGTTTTTTTCGTATTTATTGTGTTTTTTTTTTGTTTTTTATGTTTATTTGGTGTTTATTTTTTTCTTTTTTTTTTTATTACTTTTTTTTTGTTTTTTTATCTTTTTTACTTTTTATTTTGTGCTCTTTTTATCATCTTCTTTAGTTTTGCTTATCTTTTCCGCGCAATTGACTCAGGAACGGCGCTCCCGCCTGAGACTTCCTCGCAATTAGTGAGGACCCCCGCTCCCGCCTGAGACTTCCGTGCAATTTGCTCAGGAACGGCGCTCCCGCTTGAGACTTCCTCGCAACTTAGTCAGGGCCCCCGCTTCCGCTTGAGATTTCCTCACACTGTACTCAGGACTGCGCTCTCGCGTGCGACGTCCGCACAAATTATTATGGAATTGCGTTTCGGCGCTCAGGAACCACGCACGCGCCAACGACGCCTTCACAACGTGGTATCTTCCCTCTTCCTTCGTCCTTCCCCTTCCCCTTCCTCCCACTCTCCCTCGTTCTTCCCCTCCTCCTCTTGCAGGGCCCGCGCCAATTCCAATGGCGGGCCGAGAGATGTACGCCCCCGAAGGATTGTCCGCCCGTTCCGGTTTGCCCGTACGTCTAAGCCCGCCGGCCCCAGCAAAGAGAAAAAATCCCCCCGAAAGGGGTGTGATCGAAGACGAAGAGGGCGGGCATCGAGGGTGTAGGGTATACGTGTTGAATGACTCGCGGGCAAGTAAGAGCGTACAGCCTTAAAATGGTTGTTGTTGTTGTTGAACATTATTAATTCTAAAGAATAATTATTGTTGGGACCCCTGGTGCGCGCCCCCCCCGCCGCGCCTAGGCCGCAGCTACATTTTCATCATTTTCGTGAGGAAGCCTCAGGTAATACGATGTCATCAAGATCCGGTTGTTTTGTTCCCCCCCGCTGTCCCTTGCAAAAAACACTATAAAATGAAATTTCTTGTTCTAATATAACCAAACTTCAAGAATCCCTTGCAAAAAATAAGGTAAAGTGGACATTCGCGCGCGCAAGACGAAATCCTTCCAAAACCTTAGTGTTCGTAGCGATTTTAACATAAAAACATCAAAAAATCAATGGTTTTTCAAAAAAAAAGTGTCAAAATTTCATCCCGCGCGCTCTTGCGGATTTGTAGGAAACCCAACACTTTTTAATCATTTCTGTCAATCGGGCTTTTGCGAGCAACTTTTTCGAACTTCTGCAACAACGGTTGCGCACCTGCCAGGGCCATCATCCCTGTCAAATAATACCATGCGGGACACATTCGTTTTTCCTTCGCGCGCGCACGCCGTCGTCGTCGGCCGCGGGGCCCTGAATAGTAGCCACGGTCGTCCGCATGCCACGAAGTGAAGTGTCCGAACGTCATAGGGCGGGAAGCTGGGTGTGGGTGGTGGCGTAGAGTCGTATGGAAATTTGGTAGAGCTTGAACCGGCCCCCCCACAAAGTGGGGGTATTGCCCGCCTCCTATGAAAACCCTGGCACTGGTGAGAACGGGGTGTCCCCACGTGCTAGTAATTGTTGTTGTTGTTGTTGTTGATGTTGATGTTGTTGTTGTTGTTGAACATTATTTATTCTAAAGAATAATTATTGTTGGGGCCCCTGGTGCGCGGCCCCCTCGCCGCGCCTCGGCCGCAGCCACATTTTCATCATTTTCGTGAAGAAGTCTCAGGCAAAACGTGGGTGTCCGGATCCGGTTGTTTTGTTGACGCCCGCTTTCCCTTGCAAAAAACACTATAAAATTAAATTTCTTGTTCTAACATAACCAAACTTCAAGAATCCTTTGAACAAAATGACACGAAGTGCACACTCGCGCGCGCAAGATGAAATCCTTCCAAAACCTTAGTTTTCGTGGCGATTTTAACATAAAAACATGAAAAACCCAATGGTTTTTCAAAAAAAAAAGTTTCAAACATTCATCTTGCGCGCTCTTGCGGATTTCTGAGGAAACCCAATATTTTTTCAACATTTCTGTCAAACGGGCTCTTGCGAGCAACTTTTTCGAACTTCTGCAACAACGGTTGCGCACCTGCCAGGGCCATCATCCCTGTCAAATAATACCATATAAAAAAAAATACTGGAAACAAGGACACATTCGTTTTTTCTTCGCGTGCGCACGCCGTCGTCGTCGGCCGCGGGGCCTTGAATAGTAGCCAAGGTCGTCCGCAGGCCACGAAGTGAAGTGTCCGAACGTCATAGGGCGGGAAGCTGGGTGTGGGTGGTGGCGAAGAGTCGTTTGGAAACTTGGTAGAGCTTGAACCGGCCCCCCCACAAAGTGGGGGTATTGCCCGCCTCCTATGAAAACCCTGGCACTGGTGAGAACGGAGTGTCCCCAGTCGTAAATGATTGTTGTTGTTGTTGCTGCTGCTGCTGTGCTGTTGGTGGTGTTGTTGTTGTTGTTGAACATTATTTATTTTAAAGAATAATTATTGTTGGGCCCCCTGGTGCGCGCCCCCCCTGCGCCGCCTAGGCCGCAGCTACATTTTCATCATTTTCGTGAGGAAGCCTCAGAAAAGAGGGTGTGTACAGGATCCGGCTGTTTTGTTGTAATCCGCTTTCCCTTGCTAAAAACAATAGAAAATGACATTTCTTGTTCTAATATAATCAAATTTCAAGAATCCCTTGCAAAAAATAAGGTAAAGTGGACATTCGCGCGCGCAAGACGATATCCTTCCAAAACCTTAGTGTTCGCAGCGATTTTAACATAAAAACATCAAAAAACCAATGGTTTTTCAACAAAAAAATGTCAAATTCTCATCCCGCGCGCTCTTGCGGATTCGTAGGAAACCCAACACTTTTTAAACATTTCTGTCAAACGGGCTTTTGCGAGCAACTTTTTCGATCTTCTGCAACAACGGTTGCGCACCTGCCAGGGCCATCATCCCTGTCAAATAATACCATGCGGGACACATTCGTTTTTTCTTCGCGCGCGCACGCCGAAATCTCCAAAAACCATTGGGCTTTTTAAGAATTTTAGCACCGCGCATCATAAAATCACACGAATCGCACCGTAGGTCTTCGAAAAACACCTGCACGACTTTTCAAAATTTCTACCCGCGCGCGCTGTCCGAATCCTAAAAAAAAACAATGGTTTTCCAACATTTATGTTACATGAGCTCGCGCGAGCTACTTTCGCACGCTCTTGCAACGGGGTTCGCGCGCCTGCCAGGGGCCACAATCCCTTGCGGTAGCGCCATAGGTTGCGCCCTCGGCCGCCGAGAATAAAACGTCCCCCTATTGGTTGCGCCATAGGTTGCGCCCTCGGCCGCCGAGAATAAAACGTCCCCCTACTGGTTGCGCCATAGGTTGCCCCAGGAGGCCTTCAAGAGGCCCCAAGAGCCCGCCGCGACGAACTCGTCTCTTTAGAGCCGCGGCGGGGAAAAGACGGTGGGTGGGCGTGCAAGCGCCGTTCCCGCCCCTCCTCTCTCTTCTCTCCTTTCCTCCTTGTCCTGCTCCTCCTCCTCCTCCTCCTCCGGCGGGGGGCGTGAGGATCCGGCATCGCTCTCAACCATCGGGACAACCATCGGGACAACCATCGGAACAACCATCGGGACAACCATCGGGACAATCATCGGGACAGTCATCGGGACAACGATCGGGACAAGCACAACCATCAGGACAACCATCGGGACAATCATCGGGACAACGATCGGGACAACCACAACCATCAGGTCAACCATCGGGACAACCATCGAGACAACCATCGGGACAACCATATCCTCTCTCTCTTGTGTATTCCCACATCCCTCAGGAATTTGCCCTAAAGATGTGATCAACTATCTTGTGAGTACGTATCATGTGTATCAGGTGTATCATGTACCATATGCATCATATGCAACAGATGTTCTGTGGAAGGCTTAACAACTTCTGTGGGTTAACAAGGCTTAACAACTTCTGTGGGTGTACGAACGTAGGCTTAACAACTTCTGTGGTGTGTACTCCACGCCAGTGTAGTAGCCACGGTCGTCCGCAGGCCACGAAGTGAAGTGTCCGAACGTCATAGGGCGGGAAGCTGGGTGTGGGTGGTGGCGAAGAGTCGTGTGGAATATTTGTAGAGCATCTTTTTGATGCTGTTCATGCTGTTTTTTAATTTTTTTTCTTTTCTGTTTTTTTTTTTCTCTTCTTTTTATTTTTTTTCTCTTTTTTTTTGTTTGTTTTTTCTTCTATTTATCTTTTTATTCTTTTTTTTTTCGTTTTTTTATTTTTTTATTTTGATTTTGTTGCACTGCCCTCCCCACATAAGTTGGGGGTTTTGGCTGGACCGTCGTCGCATTGAAAACCCTGGACTGGTGGGGAGAACACTGGAGCGTTCGGGTAAAGTGATTGTTGTTGTTGTTGTTGTTGTTGTTGTTGTTGTTGTTGTTGTTGTTGTTGTTGTTGTTGTTGTTGTTTGTTGTCGTCGTCCCACCCGCGACCCACCCGTGACCCACCCCTCGACCCACCCGGCGACCCACCCCGCGACCCACCCCGCGACCCACCCAGCGACCCACCCGCGACCCACCCGCGACCCACCCCGCGACCCACCCCGCGACCCACCCACGACCCGCCCGCGACCCGCCCGCGACCCACCCCGCGACCCACCCGCGACCCACCCCGCCACCCACCCGCGACCCACACCGCGACCCATACCGCGACCCACCCTCAAGGGAGGAAAAACCACCCGGACCCGACGATTGACGTTTACTAAACGGCCTTGGGCGTTTATTAAGCAGCCTTGCCTTGTTCGATTCATTCCTTGTGTGCGTTTACTAAACGGCTTCGCTTGTCGGGGTGATTATTGTGGGGTGGATTTTCTGCCCTCTGCACCCGCGACCCACCTGCGACCCAACAGCGACCCATTTGCGACACCCGCGACCCACCCAGCACCTACCCACAATGGTTTAACGAAAAAAACGGCGCCTGCGGCGGGCTCGTTGCATAAGTTGTGAAATCTTGGCGCCTGCGGCGGGCTTCTCCAGAGTCTCGCAAACTGCCGACGTCCCCACCGCCCCCTCACTCTCATCCGCATCTGCGGAGTGCTACGTTCCTGCCCCCATCACTTCCTCGCCCTACCTCCTCTGCCGTTCAGGGAGTTTGCGCTGGAGCTGCACTCGGGCATGTACCTCACACAGCCTGCCGCTCAGGGGCGCAGCGTGGAGGAGGAGTAGGAGGAGTAGGATGAGGAGGAGGAGGAGGAGGAGGAGGAGGAGGAGGAGGAGGAGGAGGAAATCTGTGATGTGAGGAGGTATGAAGGGAGGAGGGGCGAGGAGGAGGAGGAGGAGGAGGAGGGAGGAGGAGGAGGGGGGGACAGGGGCCCCTTGGATATACAATATGCCCAGATGGATCGAAACGATGTCTGCTGGGGACTCCGAGTGCTCCCGCCCTCCTCCACTTTCCCGCCCCTCCGCGCTCCAATTCTTCATCCTGGTCGCCATCTCCGCGCCCTCCCGCTCTTCTCCCATCCCGCCCCCCTTCCCCTTCTCCCCGCTTGCCAGCCGGAAACCTAACGCTCAGCCAGCTGGGGTCTCGTCAGGCGGGGATCGGGAGAGGAGTACGAGTCAAGGTGGCCAGTTCGGTCGAGTCAACGGATCGTGTCCGCTACAATGGAAACTTGCGGTGGCAAGACTCCAGTTGGTCTGCCCTTGGGGCTCTCTTGGGGCCCAGGCCCTGGAGGGCGTCTTGGGGCCATCTTGGAGGCTACCGACCAAAGAAGGGGGGTCCTCGATGTTGGTTCTCCCCTGAAGCCATCACAATCGCCTCTTAGGGCGGTCTTGCTGCGCTCTTGGGCCGATCTTAGGCGCCCTTGGGGCCGCCTGGGGAGCCTTTGGGGCCCCTCCCGGGCCTCTCTTGGGCCTCTCTTGGGCCATCTGGAGGTTTGGAAAGCGCATCGGAAGCGAAACGGCGGGAAGGCACACATCATTGTTTTACATCAGGTGGCATTCTGGCTCGAGCCATCTGGGCCATCTGGGCTCACGCCACGCTGGCTCAGCGTGGTGGCTCGAAGCCAGTCTGTCGACACCGTGTCAGCTGAGTGAGCGCTCGTGTGGGCGGAGTGCTCGCATCGACATAAGCAACATCACGAGTACCGATCGGTCTTCATGGTGGCTCCACCCGCGGAGGGGCGCAGGAGGGCAGCGTGCTGCGGCAGGCAGTGCCCGCACCGCAGGCGGGCGCGGCTCAAGAACGGCATCGGCCGCCTGACACTGAAGTTCGCGGACCCGAGGCAGGAGGAGGGCTTCGCGAGCCTCCACAAGGAGCGGCTGGCCCACAGCATGACGTATGGGGCCAGGATACTTGCGGTTGAGGGCCTGATGAGCCTGCTTCTCCACAGGTTCTGGGACAACTCCCAGTACCTTACAGAGGAGGCTCGGGAGCTCAGGAAGTGGCAGATGTTCATCCTTGTGGGCATCCACGTGGCCGGGATCCTCGCCCTCGGAGCTGGGATATTCATTGCCAAGCAAAAGTTTGCCAGTACCCTGGCGTTGGAGATCCTTGTTGTTTCTGCAGCAAGCTGCTTCATGATGCTTACCGGGGCCATTCCGAAGCACTACATTGCTCGATTGTTCGGCCACCGCGACGCGGAGGCCATTTGGGGCGTGGACTTGGGCCCCACCGACGGCTCCCTTATACTGTACATCGATATGGTTGTCACCGTCGTGCACTGGCTCATGCCCATCCGCTGGTTCGTGCTCGCCCCCTTGGAAGTGATTGCGATTCTGGCCTACGCCGTGCCCGCGGTGCTGCTCGGCAGCCCAGCCACAAACATGGTCCCGTTCAACGGCCTCGCGATCCTCATGCTCACGCTCGTCGCGGCCTTCGGGAAGCGGGCCTTCGAGAGGCAGGAGCGCCAGCTCTTTGCAGGGCTCCTGTCGGAGAAGAAGATGCGGTTCCAGGCCGAGTTCCAGCTGTCCAGGGTGGGCAGCGACGAGGCGGCGGCGAGGGCAGAGGACGCCGGCTCCGAGCGGTCTGTCGGGCTGTCGCGCCCGGGGACGACGATGAGCGCAGCGGCGTTCGACGGCAGCGTGGAGAGCGCGACGCTGGGCCAGATCCGCGCGATCGGCCTGCGGGAGCAGTGGCTCATTGCCAACGAGGAGGTGCAGATCCTGCCCGGCAGGGTCCTCGGCGAGGGCGGCTTCGGCATCGTCGCGCCGGGCCTGTACCACAACACGATCGTGGCGGTGAAGACGCCGAGGCGGGACATCGCGCGGAGAGGCGCCATCTCCTCGACATGGTCCGAGCTCTGCAACGAGCTGAGGATCCTCCGCCGCATCCGCCACCCCAACATCGCGTTCTTGTACGGAGCGTGCACGGACGAGGCCCTGAGCAGGCTGTGCCTGGTGCTCGAGTTCGTGGACGGTGTGTCCCTGGGCGCGTTCCTCCGTGGCCCATCATCGAGCAGTGGCGAAGCGTCCTAGCTTGCCTGTAGGCCTGCCAAACAATGTTCCGAGAACCTTTAGCCGTCTGCACGAAATGTGATTAGAACATCTCTGGCTGGGACTGTCTTGTTTGAACACGTCTGGTCGATGTTCTAAGAACATTGGTTTTGTTCTTAGAACGTTATTGGGTTCTAAGACAATTTTGTGGTAGGCCTATAGGAATGGCGGGACGGTCGGTCCCTGCTCAACATCACGCGGCCGCCAGGGGCCGGGGGGGCCGCGCGGTGGAGCCTCGGAAGTCGGGGCATTGGCGAGCAGTATCTCCGTGAGGTCCGTGCTCATCTTTGACATCCTGCATGCGCTGTGCTACCTGCACTCGAGGGAGCCCGTCGTCGTCCACGCCGACCTGAAGGACTCCAACGTCTTCGTCGAGGAGCGGCACAGCAGGATCGGGGGGATCTCGCACCGCGCCAAGCTGCTCGACTTTGGCCTGTCGCGGATCCTCACCCGGAGTGCCAGGCCTCTCGGCGGCACGCTCCGGTGGATGGCTCCAGAGTTGTTCTCGCGCGTCCCCCCCGACACGGCCGCCGACTGCTACTCCTTCGGGTTGCTGACGCACTTCATCGCGACAGGGCTCCTGCCCTTCGAGGGCAAGCGGGCCGCGCAGGTGGCCAAGTGGCTGCGGGGCGGGCAGCCGCCCAAGCTGCAGTGGCCCATGCCCGCCAACGAGATCTCGGACGCCTGCCGGCCGCTGGTGGAGCAGTGCACCCAGGTGAAGCCCGCGCTGCGCCCTTCGGTGCGGCAGGCCAGCCGCAAGCTGTCCCTGGTTTTGGGCCACGTCGTCAGCGGGGCCATGGATGCGGTGATCGAGCAGCTGGACGTCAGGGGGCCTAACGGCGGGGGCAGGAGGTCACAGGGCCAGGGCGCAGCCATGCCCGATTCCGCGGACGCCGCGGCCAAGAACGACGGGCTCGAGGAGTTCCTCGGCGTGGTGGAGGTGAGGCAGATCAGCAGCATCAGCGTTGGCTCGCTCGTTTCCTGCACGGGCTCCAGGGACCTGCCCCCAGTGCAGGAGCACGAGGTGCTGCAGACTGGAGAGGCCTCGAACGGCGCCGCGGCACCGCCGCTCGGGAGCCACAGCGCGTGCGCGCAGGCGCAGCTGACGCACCCCGGGTACAAGCCGACGCCGCTGCGCACGCAGACACTCGCGCTGCTAGAGTTGATGTTGAAGTGGAACGTTTCGACGTCGGGCAGTGCCTGCTGCTGGCTGCACGGTGCTCTGCACTCCCTGAACAGGGTGCGGAAGCATCTTAACCAGAGGACATGCGAGGTGAAGCTCGAGGGCATGGTCTGCGGCCAGTGCGACACTTGTGGGCTGCTGATACTGCATGACCAGGTCTGCTGCGATTTCTGTGATTGCTCACAGGCCCCGTGCATCGTGGACGACCATGCGCACTCCGAACAAGTTCTGATCTAAGCACGCCTGTTGAAGGCCAGTGGACGTCGGGAACTCCTGCGACACGGAATTGCTGACGCATCGGCCCGTCCAGAAATGATGCCCGCATGCAGTGGAACAAGGAGAAGGGCAGCCGTCAAACAAAATCCCGGTTGGAGGAGTTGGAGCTGCATTTTCCATATGTTCTTTGTTCCATTGTATCGAAGACGCCTGCGGCGAATCACCAGGGGCTAATTAGGCAGGGGGCGTCCCAGGTGACGGAAAGCGCGCGTAGCGTCGCGATCCGTTAGTCGGGAGAGATAACAAGGGGGGGGTGGGGGGTTAGGCAGGAGGCGACCCAGGTGACGGAAAGCGCGCGTAGCGTCGCGATCCGTTAGCCGGGAGAGATAACAGGGGGGGGGGGTCGACCATTTTCGCTCCAAGACGGCCCAAGTCAGCCCCAAGAGCGCCTAAGAGGCCCCCAGGACGGCCCAAGACAGCCCCAACAGCGCCCAAGATACCTTCAAGACGGCGTCGGAGAGGTCCACGAGGGCCTCGAGACGGCCCATGAGCGCTCAGAGAGGGCCCAACATGGCTTCAAGACGGCCCAAGAGGCCCCCAAGACGCCCCAAGAGGCCTCCAAGGGGACCCCCAAGAGGCAAACATGGTGCCATTCCTTTATCAGGAAAGCGCGCATTTTCAGCATATTACTTTTTTCGGTCTTTGCAGCGTCCAAGACGGCCCAAGAGGCCCCCAAGATCGCTCCAGGACGGCCTCAGGGGCCCCCACGAGCGCCCCAAGACGGCCCCAAAGGGCTCCAAGACGGCCTAAGGCAGCCCCAAGACGGCCCAAGAGGGGCCCCATGGGGGACCCGAAAGCGTCCCACGAGAGTCCCAAGAGGGCCACGGGAGGCTCCCAAGGGCCCCGGAGGGCTCCAGGAGGGCCCCCAGACAGCCGAGGCCCGCCAAGACGGCCCAAGAGGGCCCTGGGACGGCCCCGGCCCAGGAGGGCCCCAAGACGGCCCCAAACTGCCCCCAGAGGGCCCCCAGATGACTTCCAGACGGCCTTACCGAGGCCTCCAACTAGAGGCTTCCAAGGCGCCCCAAGAATGGCCCAATGGGAACTCCCTTGTGTCGCGATCCGTTCGTCGGGAGAAGAAATGGGGGGGTAGGCAGCCCTACGCCCAGAAGACGGAAAGCGCGCTCGCGTCGCGATCCCTTCGTCGGGAGCACTATAAAGGGTGTGTGTGTGTGTGTGTGTGTGTGTGTGTGTGTGTGTGTGTGTGTGTGTGTGTGTGTGTGTGTGTGTGTGTGTGTGTGTGTGTGTGTGTGTGGGGGGGGGCGGACGCCGCCGCACCGCGCAGAGGACCGAAAGCGCGCTTGCGTCGCGATCCGTTCTCCGGGAGAAATGCCAAGGGCGTGTGGGGAGGTACGTAGCCGAACCGTGCGTTCGTGGATTGCGTCCTGCGGCCTGTTCTGGGGGGATCATGGCCATAAGAGGAGGAGGAGGAGGAGAAGGAGGGGAGGAGGAGGAGGAGGAGGAGGAGGAGGAGGAGGAGGAGGAGGAGGAGGGGGAAGTGCGCGATTCTGGACACCACGCAGAAAGAGCATGCCGACGACGATAACGACAATAGTCACGATGACGATGATGATGCTGCTAGTAACAACGATACGGTTGATGATACTGATGATCATGCCGATGCTGTCGATGAAGACAACGATGACGGCGGTCGTGGTGAGGATGATGAAGATGAGGATCATGATCATGATAACGACGACGATGACGACGATGATGATGATGATGATCATGATGATGTTGATGTTAAGGTTGATGATGATGATCATGATGATGATGATGACGATGATGTTGATGATGATGTGATGACGCACAAGATGCCGACCGATGCTGTCGATGAAGATAATGACGGCGGCGGTCGTGGTGAGGACGATGATGATGATTATGATGATGAGGATCATGATCATGATAACGACGACGATGACGATGACGATGATGATAATTATGATGATGATGACGACGGGGACGATGATGTGATGATGATGCAGAAGATGCCGATGCTCACGACGATGATGATGCCACCGATGACGATAATGATGACGATGACGATGATGATGATATGATGATGATGATGACGACGATGGTGATGACGATGACGATGACGATGATGATGATGATGATGATGATGATGATGATGCTGATGATGCTGATGATGATGATGATGATGATGATGATGATGATGATGATGAGGATGATGATGATGATGATGATGATGATGATGCTGATTATGATGATGATGATGCTGCTGCTGATGATGATGATGATGATGATGATGAGATGATGATGATGATGATGATGATGATGATGAGGATGATGATGATGATGATGATGATGATGATGCTGATGATGATGATGATGATGCTGCTGCTGATGATGATGATGATGATGATGATGATGACGATGATGATGATGATGCTCATGATGCTTATGAGCTGGACAAGGAGCAGCACGATACTTACGATCATGCTTATGATCATCACGTCGAGGAGGAGTCCGACGTGGACGACGACTTCGAATAATAATGCCGCAACCTGTGACACTTTTCGTATTCATTTTTCCAGGGGCCACCTGCACTGGAGGGAGCGCCGCATGCAAGTGGGTGTCCTCAGCGAGGACCGGTATTGTATTGGAAATGCTCCCGGAGAGCCTAAAGAGCCCCCAAAAGCCCTCCAGAGGGCCCCAAAAGCGCTCCGAGGGACCCCCATTCGGACGCACGGATGGAGTACGCTTACCATTCCACATGCCGCTCTCGTTCAGACGGCAGTGCAATCCCGAAGCTGCATGGGCTCAAGGAACTCAAGAAGCGCTGCCTTCGCGGGAAAACGAGCTTACCCCCGCTACCTATCCCACGGCAACAGGCCGCGCATGCCGACCGCGGAACGGTCGGCTGGCCGAGACGCCGAAAAACGACTGGAACGAGCTCCCTTGCTTGGCGCCGACGCTCCCCCGGCGACAGCGCCTGCTCCAAACAGCGCGCGGGCACCGCCTGGCGCTCTGGGCGCGCGTGACTGCAGCAGATCACCTGAGCTCGGGCGCGGGGCGCCCGTGTCCCCCAAGCCTCGCCCTGTGGGGGACTTCAGAACAGACCCCGACTCGCGTGCGTGGCCAGGTCTCCCAGAGAGCAGCGGACAACACCGCCAGGCAGAACTGGCGCGCGGCGTGGTTCTCGGCGGTACGGACTCGATGAGCGAGCCTGCGGACGGCATTGCGTCCTGCCGCTCGCCAGATGCCGCGGCCGCTGCGCGCGAGCTCGCAGGGGCGGCCGCTGAGACCCGTCAGCGCGCAGCTGCTGCCAGAGGCCTCGGACATGTGCCGGCGCGACCCGGACGTGGGACGCAGCCAGGATTCCTTGCCGCCGCACTCAACAGCGACGTCTTGGGCGCCAGCAGCACCGCGGCTCTCCGAGCTGCACTAGCGAAAACCAAGTCGAGTGCGAATGCCACCGCTTCAGGTGCACCCGACGCATGCCCTTCCCCACCGGCCGACGACGCCCCAGTTTGCAGGGCGCTTTGTGCAACGCCCGGCACTGAGACTTCTGTTGACGACAACGATGAGATTGACGACGGTGTGGAGGGCCATGGAGAGAGCCGAAAGTCTCGCATAACCACATCCCCGCTACGACGGGCTTGCGATGCATGCGGACAACTGGGATGCTCACCGAATGCACCTACCTGTCGAGTGTTTGTGTTGTCGACGACATGCGACGCGATTCTGCACTACGCTGGGCGCGGGGCGTCGGGCAGCCCGTCTCCAAAGACGTACGCGACTACTGCGCGGCGTCTGGAAAGCCCGCGTCTCCGCCGCCTGACGCAATCCATGATATCAAATATAGATTGTTTATTATACAGCGTGGCCAGTATCTTCGCCCGGATGGCGCTTGCGGGGGACGCTCCAGCACGCCGCGTTCTGGCGCGCATCCCTTCAATTTTTTCGAAGGAGCAGACGCCGCAGTGCAACATCTGCGAGACATATCCGCCGACGTCAACTTCCACTGGGCCCCCGAACAGGCACTCTAAGGCATTGCCACGGGGGGGAGGGGACGCAAGAGGATCATATCGCAACCCCAGATCCCATGGGCGCTTGATCGGAGCCTGGGCGCCCCACCGCGCCCAGGATGTTTTTTCGTTTCGCTGTCGGGGGAGCATGGCCGACCTGTCGACGATGCATCGCCGTCTCGAACTCAATGTCATCATCCTGAGACAACCCTTCCCTTTCTTGCCCCTCATGTACTCGACTACGTCATCGCCTCTTCCATGCGCCGGCTAAGCCAGCCTCCCCGTGACCTCTGGGGCCCTGACTCTCTGCTGGCCGAGTGGTCTTTCCAGAACCTCGCAGACGTCGACGGCGTCCTCGCTTTTGAAGAGCGAACTGATGGCAGCGCGCCGGCGCGGGCCGCATGCGCCTGGGCTCTTTTCGGAGCAGGCCGACGGGAAGAGCGCGCGTTCGCAACGCCAGACGGGGTCGCCAACCTAGCTCGCCACCGCAAGTGATTGCACCATTACGTGCGGCAGCGCGGGAACATGCACTGGGGCACGCAAGCCGACGCGCGCATTCTGGGCGACGCTCTCGACGTCGGGACCCTGCTGCTCCGTGAACGGTTACCCGCCAATGCGCGCGCATGCCTATGCAATATCGGCACCGAAATGGAGGGTTATTCATATTGGCTGGCATCGTGGTGGGGCGAGTCTGTTCGCTTCCGTGGAGCGGAATTGAATTGGCACCCCGCGCATCCCCGCAGCGTCGGGATCAGCGGCCCCGGTGGGCGAACATTTCTCTGCGGTCTGCGCGCGGAGCGCAATCGCCTCGCGAAGTGGACTTCCAGATTCCACTGCTGCTTCTCGCCGCCAACTCTGCGTAGAAAGCCGCGCGACTGTTGCGCGTGGAACGGTCGCCTGAGGCGAGTGCGCCCGAGCTGCGAAAACCTGAGCGAGCACGGCGCTCTCTGCGACAGTGCCCCGTTGTGGATTGGGAGAGCAATTCAGATTGATTGGTTTCGCGACGGTCAACTGCGAGTCAGGC